ATCGAAATCCAAAAAGTTTAAAACAGAATTAGCGAACTTCTTTGTGTTTAGTCCGGTCAAACCCTTGTGGCAGCCATGTTTGTTTTTATTAATAGAGGACACTTTCACGGGTAATCATTCCATATTTGGAATTTGCATTTCCTAATATGGTAGGATAAAAATACCCCGTAAAATACCGCAAAATTACTGCATGCTGTAACTTATGGGGTTACGTTTGACAGATGTATATTAATAATTATTCATCTGTCAATGTATCTCAACAAGTTACTTCACAGGAAAGTTTTGAATGATAGTTTTTCTAGGATGGATGTTTTGGCCAAGGATATTTTTGCCTCAGTAAAAATTAGAATTTATGGCAAGGTTTTATTTATTTGAGGAATGCACACAAAAAAAATGTGTATTTTTTTTGGGAGTAAAGTTGAATAAAGTTGATTTTTTTATCCATTAAATGTCATCAATGATTCGGCAAGTGTTTTACTAAATACCTACACATGATTGGAGGTTTAGGAACCATAGTTGAAATGTCTTGTGACCACATCCCTGGAATAGAGCCTCTGAGTTGCAAGTAGGATGTATAGCGCCCCCTAGTGGGAGACATCACCGAAGCATCGTATACTATCTGTTCTGTTTCTACTTCATTGGCAACTTGACCCTAGAAAGTAATGTTTAGAAAAAAGATTGATTGAACTCAGGATATTATTAATTGATTAGATATGTAGTCAAGAAAATGGTAAAATTTGTCAAAATTCAAAATAACATTATACCGGTATATTGAAATCAAATAGCTAAATTGCAGCAAAAACAATTTACAAAAATGAATTTATTTAGTGGGACAGCATGATATGATGGTCACGGCAATGCAAAACAAGAAAAATCTGTTTTAGTATTTTTTGGCAGTATGATAAATTGAAAAGGATGACAGTTCATCTATTTTTGGTCAAAATCAGAAAGAAAATGCAGTAAAAAAACAAATGCCAATGAGTCCATTTGCTTGGTCAACTTGTATTTGTATAACATATACATATCTAATCACAACAAATTATATTTTAAAATCTGTATCACAGGCAGGATATGACCACCACTGGTTTGTGATGCATGCAATCTAAGATTTTGATCTTGTTTTTCATGGAAATTTAAATCCTATGAATACATGTCCATGATTATTCAGGTACTAAGTTGTAACTGGTACATAGTCGAGTACTTACCTCAGAGTTTGCTCCCCTTTTGAGGAACCTGGTTCCAGCGAACTGATTGGAACGTCGAGCTATTAATGTTAAGTAGACTGATTTACCATATATGCATATATCTGTGGTATTAAATTAAGGATAACCTTTCCAATTACAGATGATGGACACTGACCACATGGCAAAAGTACTCTCTATGCCTAAAACATGCATTTTTTACAAATAAATATCTCAGGTGAACTTTGAAAGTCAGAGTCTAAGCTTGTGTCACACTTCATAAACTAACCTTTTCACCACTAGACATTCTTTCTCAAATTTTCTTATATTTTTTAATATTTCTGGAAATGAACACTAATTTTGGAACCAACAGACAAAATCAATCAACTTTCAGTTTTTACTCAAAAAATTTGGTTATTTTTGTACCAATCTTCTGAAAGAAAGTGCAGATTATAAACAAGACTATTTTGTTAATTTGTAATGAAAAGAGGGAACTGGTGGTGAAAAGGCTAAACCCACTTTGAGAAAAATACTTCAAAGCATTGAATCAAAAATATGGCAGAGAAATTTAGTGCATTTAAAGGAAACATCAATCAAAACAAGATAATGACCCCTAAAGAAAAAGCTCCACAAATGTAGGAGAATGCAATTTACAGTTTTTTTATATCAGTTTTCATTCTCTAGATATTCAACTTTTCATCAGTATTATGTAGTCAGCCATCTTGATTTTCAAGCAAAGGATTATGGGTAAAGTATGACATCATAGAATCTGTTGTCAGAAAATGATTTCAAACTTGTACCGGTATATACAATGGTTATAACATAGAGATGACAAAGGATACTAGACTGTCCCATAAATCCATGTATAATGTACAGAACCCAGTCTGGTTGTACAACATTCTCAAAACCTTTCAACATGTGGGAGTTCCACACAAATTTATAACTGGCAGGATTATGTAGACCCACTTTTTCTTTCCCTAATAACAATGAAATTATTTAATTAGTCATGTATAAACATGACAAAATTCTGACTGGTCTGTTTAAGAGATCTGATCTTTCTGATCTACATATGAATACCAAAATGTCATAAATTCATATTTTGCAATTTTTTATCAGTGTATGATTGCAAAATATGCCTCTCAATTTTTATTATTATACTTTAAACGGCGATGGTTGTCGCAACATTTGTGTTACGAAATTGATGATGAAACACTGCTTGGACGAACGACTTCCATTGCATGTAGCCAGGATGTTAGCACATTGTGACAACACCATGGACTTTTCTTTATGAAAATGCCATGAATATTTAATTAGCTCAGCGACCGTGCAATAGGCTGTGTGGCAAGGGGAATCTAAAAAGCATTTTTTTGGTGTTAAATTTATTTTCTGTGATCATACAACAACTAACATTTGTACTAGTATATATTTCAAGTGTAATATAAGCCATAAAATAGTACCTAGCCATTTCACAGGAATTTTAATGAGCTCTTAGTTTTGCACTAATTACCACCGGTGACTTCTTCAATTCTTTCAATCACCTAATTAAAAGCTTGGTAACATCTCTATGTGTACTTGTTGATCTGCACAACAGTCAAAGTCGTCATCTCTTGTGCATGTGTGGCAAGACAACCACCGCCCTTTAATACATAGCATGAATGACTACAATACTAAATCAACATGTTCAGTACAGTAAGATCTCAACAAAACAGAGCATATTCTTGATGACTGGAATAATATGCCCTCCTCCACCCCAACCTAGTCTTCTTTAATAAATTTCATTCTGAAATCATTCATTAAGATTTTGGTACTTTTACATAAATATTTGATGGTCTGAATATGTATAATTTGTAAAAAAAACACAATTTGTGCCAATTCATAATATCACATATTTCACATAATTGTCATAAAACTCCGATATCTTATTTTATTATTTTCGTTTCTCATTTTTTCTCACTATGTGGGACTGGTTTTGTCTGTGAAATGTGTTTTATGTTTTGTCTTTACAGTACCGTCAGATGGTACTTGTTGAGTAATAAAGTTGTTATTATGATTATGATTATTATTATTATTATTATTATTATTATTATTATTATTATTATTATTATTATTATTATTATATGAATGATCTCAGAGTGCAACTTAAGCTTCTATCAAGACATGAATACTGTCACATACCAGATAGATTTAAATTCCCGATGTCTTTAGGTTCACAAAAGTTATACTGTAGACTGTGAGTAAGATCATAACTGTAACTAGAAAAAAATAAGACAACATTTTTTAATTTAATCAGTATTATTAAAAGTAAACAATCTTGAAGCACTTTTTTACTTATTTCTAATAAATAAATAAATAAATAAATAAATAAATAAATAAATAAATAAATAAATAAATTAATTAATTAATTAATGCAGTCCCTTACAAACAGTAGTAATAGTAAAAAAAATTTAGTTTATTTTAAAAATGGCAAAAACATGCTTTACATGCCCCTGTAAACATGCCCCTGTAAACAACATATCAAATAGCATTTCACACATTATTACATGTATACAAAATGAAAGAGCAACATACAAATGCTCAAGAAAGTTAAACGGTATTTATCACCATTTTGTGGATATAAGACCAGGACACAATTAAACACAAAGAGAATCTATTAAATTACATCACAAGTCTAAAATAAAATCTAAGGTCACTATACAACAACTTGAATGTAAAACAGCAATACTTTTGTCAACATAGTATGATCAATATTTTATGTGATTTTGTTATCACCGGCAGAATTTTAATTTTTATAGGCATCCTAGTTTTAAGCTTGCCATGTTGTGAGTTTGCATTTCCATAGCAGTAGTTTTTTTTTTCTTAATATGAAGTATTTTGTTCTGTATTTAGTTTTTTTGTTCAATGTAACCATTTTAGTTTTAAATAAAAAAAGCACCAGCCAAAATTATGTATTATATAAATAGATAGATTTTCTGCGTTACTGTTGTTGCATTTATTCGGCCAAATTATGTTTCATATTGTGGTGAAGAAACATACTGGTAAATAAATTACATTCTTTACATACCTGAAGTAGAAATTACTTGAAATATCAAGGTTTTGAAATATTTTGACATATCTGAAAAGAGAAAGTAATGATGTACAAAATGACACAAAATTAGTGTCAGTTTTATTTACATCTAAGTTAAATAATTCTATATTCAAATAAATAAATCACATAACAGAGGTACAGTATGGGATTCATTGGATGCATTGGTTATAAGTGCATGGGGTTATTACTTTAAATCCTATGACTTTTGTTTTTGACGATTTTCTTTTGATTTTTACTTTTACCACCTCTGCCATTGTTTGATGTGTATTTACCACAAAACTAAAAAGTTGGGTTGGCAAATAAAACAATTTTTTCCCAACACAGACCTCTCCTAAACTTGTTTTGAATGTATAGTATACGATCTGAAACTTTTGTTGTGCCAGGAGATAGTTCAAACTATTAAATGTCACTGTTGTCTCTCATGACAATGCTACAACGACTATCTTACTGGTAACCGGAACAAAGGAGCGTTGTGTAAAATCATAGACCTTGGTAAAAATCAACAAATTACAGCTATGACTGTTTACCTTGATTCATCACTGTTAGCTTGTCGGACACTGTCATTAGGTATATATATCATACTCGTATCTTCTATTTTGTAAATATTATGTCCACCAATTACTGCAATTCTATTAGGATATAGCAAAGAGAAAATCAGTGGTTGTCATGGTGATTATAATGTATCACTGAATGTAATGCATATATAAAAAATATGCAATTTTTTGAAATATAGAAGATAATATTTGGTAATCGTAGTCCTAAATAACTATTAAAAATAGCAATTTTTTGAAGACCTTTTTAGAATACTCCCACACTACAAGACACATACCCAGGATACCATAAGTACTCTTTTTTAGTCAACACTTCTGGAACATTTAAATTAATCTTGATACCTAAATTAGGGTACACTTTAGGTTTTTTATAGTCACTTATTCAAGAATACAAGAATACAGTATTACTGTGACTACTGGTATGTGAACAGGTAAAATTAGTTTGGAACATTGAGCTGTCCATCACTGTGAAAAGTGATAAATACCTTTTCAATGCTCAAAACTTCTGTGTTTTGAAAACAAAGAGACCATTTTTATATCGAAAAACATGAGGCCATAACATTCAATATAATTACATGTAAGTTGAATTTTACATGCATTTCATAACAAACCAACAAATCAATATTTTGTACGTTATTATAATCATAACTGAATAATATTCAATGTTTGTACCACCTTGAAAAATAAGTTATTCACCTGCGCATTACATTTGCTATGAAGCAATATGTCCGTGTTGGTTTTTTTTTTAAACTTTCTGTATAATTGTTCATTTTATAATAACAAAAGTTTTTATTTTTTTTTATCACATAGAACAACCACAACAGTTTGCAATGCCTTTTTTAAAAATCAAATTAAGATCATTAACTCTCGGCTGACACCTAAATTAGAAAACTTACGGTATAAGTATATTTCACCTACCTCCTTCTTTTGGTTATAAGTATGATGTAATATCCTTCAAGAAATCTTACAAATCCTACGAAGCAAGCAAAGCAATCCTTGTTATTTTCCAATTATCCTACAAGCCCCTCAAGTGGGCAAAACCAGAAAGAATGAAAAATTAAATAAAACCTTTTTGTTTTTCTATTATCAAGCAATGTTTTTTTTTTTAAATGCCTGTTCCACTTTGATCTTCTTCAGCTTGTGCCTTTTAGTATCAGTAAAAATACTGAATGACTGCACCACATCTCGAGTGAGATCATCCTTAACTAAAAATAGTAAATAGAAGCATGCAAGTTTTACTGATTGCAATACACAAGTACATGAAAGCAGGAACCTCTCCCCCACAACCAAAGTAATTCTCACCTACGAATGCCAAATGCCGAGACGGTTCTACTCAATCCACTCATTCCTCTTTGCACTAATTTGGGTTTATTTCCTTCATTTATCATATTTAATAAATCTTTAATTTCATGCTGAGTATATTCCATCTAGAAATTAAACAGAAAAATTAAATTATTTATTTGCTTATGCACAATGTAATGTAATGTAATGTAAAGTAATGTAAAGTAATGTAATGTAATACAGTTGTAATGTATTCAGAAAAATTTTCGTCAGTATTTTATATTCACCTTGGCTAAGTTTGATTACTTTGGTGAAATAAATCTATACAAGTGTGTTTCTATGGTCAAAATGAGTAATATTTTAATGATTCAGTATACAACAAATTGGTTTATATGCACTTCTATTTGGAGATGTACTTCTGATGGAGAAAATACAATAAACTTTGCTTTTAATACCATGTAAACCAATGCTTAACGAATTTCATGTCTCACTACTAGCCATGTAAACAGTAGTGATTACGTACTTATTGGCGTAGCTAGTCCTGTTTAATGAGTATCTTCTCGGTCACAAGTATTTATTTAGATCACAACTTGTGCCACGTAATGTACAATACCTCAGTGTTAAACGTATTGGAAGTGATCTATTGAAAAAAACGCTGAAAAATGTCAACATGCAAACAGACATCTTTTTTCATGACACATAATGTCTGCAAGGGCTAATACATGACCATCTGACCAGCAAATGCATGAATCTGATTGGTTGTTAGGGCTATGACCTATAATAAAATGTTATATTGCTTACCCGATCATCATGGATGACTAAATCCTTAGGTTCTGTTCTGTCAATCTTCAAAACAAAGAATCTAGTCTCAGTGTTGTTAGATCCAACCAAGTAAAACCGCTGATATAAAAAAAAAAATAACAACATAATTTGTGAAGAATAATCAATGGAGGAAGAAACATGGAGGCAGCTATTAACACATTGAGTACCAAAATAAACTTTTGTCTCCATTCACAAATTTATAAGCCAGCATAATTTTTTAAGATTTGTAAGCAATGTCAAGTTATGCTTATTTGGACCGAAATTGACAACAAATTTTAGAAAAATACATAAAAAATGCAAAATGTGGCATTCATAGGGTTAAAAACTAATATGATTTCTGAGTAATAAACTAAATTTGTTCTTTATTATATTAGTCATATCTCAGAATCCCTTGGACCGATTCCGTTCATTCTTTGCATGTGCCTAGTACTTTATGTGCGACATATGCACTTGCAGTGGTTTAGTGATTCGATTTTATACCACTTTGATCTTACAGAACTAATTGTCAATAGATAGACTTTACAGCAGGTGCAGAAAAAGAGAACATGCA